CTTGAGCGGGACCCCGAAAGACCTCATTAGGGTGTACGCACAAGGGTGTACGCACACGCAAATAATAATCATAACGATGCTAGTAATAATAAAGGGAGGGTAGGAACGAGAGCAACGTAATCAACACAATTATGAAGCTGAGGAGGTGCAGGGTGAAAGGGTGAAGGGAGAGGGACAGAAGTAGCAGTAGGAGTACGAGTAACCGTAGCAAGAAAACGAGTAGAGGTAGGGTGGGCAACACGCACGACGATGTGGAACAAAGGGTGCTGGGGGGAAGAGGGTCTGCGCATATTATATAAGCACATCAACATAAATATGTATACATATACATGTATATGTATACATACATACATACAAACATACATACATACATACATACATACATACATATATATATACATGATCCGCGGCAGGCTGTGGCATTGTCTACTGGATTGCTGTCTTGTGTTCCTTGTGCTGTCTTTTGCCTTTTTGTATCTTGTCTCTCCAATCCTGCCTGGCATTGTCGCTGTCATTGCCCCCAACATGTCTCCGCTAACCGGCTGCCTGACTTTGGAAGCTCCCCCGGCTGGGCATACAGCATGGAGGAGCCATCCCGAAGAGGCCGATCCGCCCAGGCAACGGACGAAGCCTAGCAGAGCGGATGCCCCCAGGCCGCCGTCAGATAGGCGGTCCTGTTCTAAAACCGCACACGCCCTACTTTGCGCTTCCTCCCCGCTCGCCTACACGCAAGAGTGGCTCTGGACAACAGTGGCTTTTGTGCGCGGCTTTGGTGGGCGCGGGAATCCAAGTCCGAGCTCGCAGGCCTCTGCTGGAGGGGCCCCTGTGGGCCCGCACCAAAAGGCCACTCCATCGCAGGATCACTCTTACGCGAGTCCTATCGCATCCCTCCTCATCCTTCACCTCGCTGGCCACGGCGCCGCTCAAGGCGCCCCCATGTTCCTGCCCGCTGGGGACGTTAGCCTCCTGTCGGCAGCGCTGGCGCGCCGCCCCTGCTTGCGGAAGGCGCGCCAAATGCTGCGCTTGCTCTCCCACCGGTCCCTCTGGCGTCGCTTCTTCTCCTCTGGGTCACACAGGTGGCAAAAAGCGCAGCCCTCGCCAGACTGGCAGCCCTTCGTGTGCACGAACGCGCAGGGCTTGCACCTGCCAGACCCGTGCAGCGCCGAGCCCAGCGTTGGCACGCGAGCAGGGCCCTCCACCCCGGCGACCCGCCCCTCGCCCGGCAACGCTGACGCCGCCGCCTCCTGGGACTCGCCCACAGCGCGACCGGGCGGCGGCGCAGAAAGTGCCCGCCGGGGGCTCTCGCCACCACCTTCGAGGTGCAGCCTGGGCGGGAACTCCAGGAACGTGTTCTTGACCCTCAGGGTCCTCTTGGCTACACGCAGGGGTGGTGCTACCATCCTTGTAGGTAGGCAAAGGTGGCCTGTGGTGCGGGGCCTGCCGATCATCCTGCGTGCTTGGGTGCTTGGGATTGGCCACGCCGCGCCCCCCGAAAGCCGCGGACCAACGGCCACTCTGGCGAAGGGTCACTCTTGCGTGTAGCCGATCCTCGCCAGCTCGCCGCCACCCCGCAGCGCCCGTTCCCACAGCCTGTCCGTGCCATCCCCCTGCTCGTCGTCGCTGGGCACCGTGCTCATGGACGGCGTCCTGGTCGCCAGCGACACCGCGGTGGATGGGGTGACCTCGAGGCAAAGCCAAAAGACACCAGCGGCTCTCCCGCCTGGCCCATACTCGTCCCAAATCGGTCTCCAGACCCCTCCCGGAGTCCATCCTGTCCCGTTTCTCGAGGCGGATCCAGCCGTGGCGACGGGAAGCCTCCGGGAGGCCCCCAAGAAGATGTAGCGCCAGGGAAGGCCGCCGCTGCCTCGACGGGCCCTCCCCCGATGACCGCGGGGAGCTCGTGCGCAGCACCCCAGGGTGCACTGGTGCTCTTGGCGGCCGCGGCCGGGCACCCTTTCAGGCCGGAGCGCGGCACGGCCGCGGGCGGCAGCAGCGGAGGGCGCGGGGCGACCTGTGGCAGCAGCACCGGGGCCCTCTCGGACGGCGGGGGCGCACAGGGCACTGGCAGCGCGAGCGTGGCTTCGAAGTGCGTGGCGATCAGCGCGCGGGCTGCCATCCCGCCTGGCTGCAAGGGGTATGGCTCCCAGTTCCGATGTCCTCGTGCGAGGCCCACGCGGCTTCTTCCCAACGGTGAGGGCCGTTGCCCTGGCGAAAAGCAAAGCGACCTCAGCCAAAACGGCTGCGGACACATACCTCTGACAGCTCGTTCCTCTCGCAACGTGTACCCGTGTACCCGCCGTACTTCTCGACCCCTTGCCTATGGCCAACTTTTCATGCTGAACTGCCTGGCAGCAGCCGGGGAGGGCGAGGACCCATTTACTCCCACACGCACTGGTGCACACATCTCTGGGGAGTCCCCGGATGCGTCTACCTGCCAGAATGAGTGTTCTACCTAAGAGGTCGCGCCAATCTGAGAGCGAATCGATCCGTGATAATACTCTTGCCTTCCCCCCTCCCGTTGGGAGGCCCCGACGGCGATGCCTGAAAGAGCGTCATAACACTTTGTCAGTAGTTTGCGCGACATGTTTTTACATAATTTCTGCCTGTGGCAATCTGAATTTAGAACGTTGGCCGTAGGCTAAGCAAACATGAACTTGGTTCTTAGACTATTCTTATTCTAGAAGTGTCATGGCCGGCCTCTAGGAATGCCGGCACGGTCGGCCCCTGCTCAAGACAAGGGACACGCTTGCCTCCCAAACCGCTTGTTATGGTGGGGGTGTCCCAAAACCAAATCATGGGCGCCAAGGGCGGGCGCGTGAGAACTCCGTCTGCTCATTCCACCCTTGGTGAGGCCCGTGGAAGTTCAACCCTGTTCAGTCCACCCTTCAACATAGCTTGCACCATATAGCTTACACCACATAGATTGCAGCACACATATTGCACAGCATAGATTGCACCATATAAATTGCTTTAGCTAGATTGCACCATATCGACTTGCAGTGCACCACATAGCTGACACCACACCTGTTGCAGCATATCGAGCATACCACATAGCTTGCACTATATCGCGAACACCACATACATTGTGCAACACAGAGTGCACCATATAGCTGGCACCACACATATTGCACAACATAGAGTGCATCACATATATTCCCCTAAAGAATATTAGGATCTACCCCCCCCACCCCCGTCTTTATCCACCCTTTACGTCACGCGGCTCGTGGCCCCATAAGAAGCTCAGCCGAAGGCACAACTTGCAAGGTCAACACGGCGGTGCCGCCCCATGTCGGCGCACCCTTCACACGGTTCGTGGCCCCGCAAGGATCTCAGCCGAAGGCCCCAGTGGTAAAGTCCAAATGGCGGCGCCGCCCCATTTGGGCGCACCCGTCACACGGTTCGTGGCCCGATAGGGAGCTCCACTGAGGGCCCCAAAGGCGGGGTTAGCATGGCGGTGCCGCCCCATCTCGGTGCACCCTCCACACGGTTCGTGGCCCCATAGGGAGCTCCACCGAAAGCAGCGCCACAATACGATACTCACAACTGCATGTGGTTGGGTCCTTCGACAGGATCATGTTTGTTTCTCCCTCTCCCTCTCTCTCTCTCTTTCCCTTGATACTTCTCTCTCTCTCTGTATGTATATGTACCTATACGACCACCCTTCGGGTGATAAGGAGGTTGTGTAGGGGGAACAAACGTCTGATCCAATCGATCTCACTATCGGTCTCACTATAGATCGCACTATTGATCTCATTGTCGATCTCACTGATCTCACTATACATCTCACTATCGATATCACTATCGATCTTACGATCGATCTCACGATCAATCTCACGATCGATCTCACGATCAATCTCATTCAACGGGACACCACGGGACACCTTTCGATCTCATTATCGATCTCACTATCGACCTCACTCAACGGGACATCACGGGACACCACGGGACACCACGGGACACCGCGGGACACCGCGAGCCACCGCTGAGCGGGCGGACGGACGGGCGGGCGGGGAAGAATCTTTGGTCTTCACTTCGCCCTAACAACGGCGGGACACCACGGGACACCACGGGACACCGCGGGACACCGCGAATCAACGCCGGACGGGCGGGCGGAGAGAATCATTTGTCTTGACTTCGCCTTAGCAACGGCGGGACATCACGGGACACCACGGGACACCGCGGGACACCGCAAGCCACCGCCGGACGGGCGGGCGGGGGAGAATCATTTGTCTCGACTTATCCCTAATAACGGCGGGTTGCAACGAGGGCGCTGGGGAACTAAGGGCGGTGACGATGGCGCATGTTAACAAAATCCGGTGTTTCAGTGATTGTTGGATTCCCGCCTTTGCCTTTTCAATTCCGATGGTCCCCTGAGTCCTTCAGGTGGCCCCACGACCACCAAAGAGTGCCCCAAGAGGGGACCAGGCGAGGTCCAAGTCGGCCCTAAGAGCGCCCAAACCTGGCCTCAAGGGGCGTCGTTTCGGGCTCTAGAGGGGCGCCGCTAATTCACGTCGCCTTTTCGGGTGGCTGGGTGACCTCCCAGATGGCCCCAAGAGGTCCCGACATGGCAACAAGGTGGCCCCAAAAGAGCGCTGAGGGAACCGCAACAACCCTGGCAGAGCCGCAACGGTTTCAAGATGACCCAGAGAGGCCTCCTGGAGGCTCTGCGACGTCTCTGCGTTCCGAATTACCCGCCTTTCTGCGTCACTCTATGTTACCCATTCCAATTGTCCAGAAACTTCGTCTTGGCACCGTTTCTACATAGGTTTGCGAGGCTACGCAAAGCGTCGAGAATAACGTTTGAGGTGAGAGGAGTGCGCAACCGTGCCCTTGCCCAAACAAAGGAAGTAGACTGCATTCGACGTGCTCTGAATGTGCACCGGCGTACCTAGCGCACGATAGAAACAAAATGCTGCTCTCGCCTGAGCGCCTCCCAAACGTTTTGAACATCGCGTTCCCGCTTGGCAGCTTGGTTTCCGCCAGGCCCAGCGGAGCTTGGAGGCAGGGCCGTCAACGCGAGATGACAAAGTCTCGCTCTCGCCCTGGCCAGAGATCTGAGTCCCGCTCTGGCACGCAATACGGGCTGCAAGGCCACGCGGCAAGCGAACAATGAATTGTTCCGCCTTCCCCTCGCGCGGGTTGATACGGCCAGGAACTTTGGTTTAGCGTGTCGCGCCTTGGTTCTGGCTCACCACACCACCGGGCGACAGGCTATCCATCTCTCAGTTCCCAAGCGTCGACGTCCCGAGCTTTTCCCAGCCTCCCGACCCGCGGAGCGAAGCGACGCGCTAGCCGCCTGCAGGGCATAGCGTGTTGCTGTGGGCGCCGCCGCGACGCGCCACGTAAAAGTTCCCGACCTTACACGATGAAGAGGCAGCGCGGAAACCGCATGATATGTTCAGGACGCGAGAGCGCATGCGCGGTGATCCACGCGCGCACATCTCTCGCGAGCTCACAGACCAAAAGACGCCGCGCCTTGGCATCCAGTGGGAACTTCCATAACGCGGTTTACGCCACGTTGGCTTTGCGTTGGAACTTTACGATCAAATTGGGTCAGGACTTGGGGTGTAGTGGCCGTCCCGCCTTCCCCGCCCAGGCAAGCGCGCAAGCGTCATGTTCGCTGGGTGTGGGAGTTCATGCCTCAAGCTACTCGGAAGTTTAGTAAATGTGGTGTGTTGGACTGCGCCGACGTTGACGCCGATGTGGCGGGAGGCAATTTGCTAAAGGGCGCATCTGGCTGACTCGCCCGAGCTGTTTGCCTCGATTCGTGTTGCTGATATTGTTTTTCCTCCTCCTTCTCCTCGTTCTCTGCCTTTTCCTCCTCCCCCTCCTCCTGAAGGAAAAGCGGCACAGGTCGTTCTTCAAACCTTGATCTCCTGAGGGCTCACATGTAGGTTTGATCGTGTAAGTTGGGTTGCTAGCTTGCCACTTGCCAAGACACTGCCGACGGCGCGAGATGCATGCGAAGGGTGGGACCGAGGTCCCCGCAGTCCCCATGCTTCGACACAGTCAGGGCGCATGAAGTCTGTGCACCAGGGGCGGGCCCAGAAAGGGGGCAGCCTGCACCTCGAAGGGGGACAGCCCTCTTGCCTCTCGGCCCGTCTCTGCGGGGACGGGCAAGACGTGCAGCACGGGCTGGGCAAGATCAAACAGGCAGAGCCCTTTGAGGGCATAGCTCAATGGACCAGTCTGCTGACCAAGAACGAAGTGGCGGGAGAGGTCACAGTCGGCGACACGCCCAGGGGGGAAGGAAGTGCGAGGAGGCAGGCATTCTCAAAGGCAGCGAGGTTTCTCAGGAGCCCTCCAGCCTTCTCAGAAACCCTGTGTGGCTCCGGAGAAAGCTCAGAAAGCTTCTCAGACGTCGAAAAACCTTCCGAGCCTTCTGGGAAGGCCCGCGCCCCCTCGCTTCCCTGAGATCCGAAGAAGATGCAACATAGTGAAACATCACGGCCAAAGCCCAAGCCCTAACCTCTCTGTACAATTGTTCGAGCCGGATCGATATGTGAGGGTCCTGGGGTCGAAATCGGGCGAAAACGACTGGTTTGAAACATTTGAAACGTCAGGATTTCAAGAGACTTTCCCCCTTGGGAGCGCTGCCGAATCAAGGGGAGGGCACGCGCGTTGTATTCCACCAGCTTCCTTGGCGTCGGCCAACGCCTTGCACACCTTGTCCATCACCGCCGACGCGTCTGCGTCGGACGACGTGCTCACCATGTCCATCGGATCTAGCTTGTCCACACCGTCAGTCTCTTTCTCTCTCTCTCTCTCTCTCTTTTTATCCCTGCCTCCTTGCCTACATACCCCTCTCCCTCATCATCATTTCTCTCTCTCTCTCTACAAATATCCTTATTTTTCTCTTCCTCTCTCTCTCTCTCAATGTGTTTTGTTTATCTCTCTCTCTTTCTCTCTCTCTCTCTCTCTCTCTCTCTTTCTCTCTCTCTCTCTCTTCTTCTTCAGCTACGGACAATGCGTCGAACGCACATCCTACCTGCCCACTACCCGCTCTGTGCTTAGTCCTCCGAGATAGTCGTGAAGAGAACATCGAAAGACCACTCCAAAGCTCAATAGCCAACAATAAACGAATCAACCAGAATACCAAAACATCGTCCCGCCCGAAGCATCATGCGCCCATGGCCTGGGCAATCGTATGCGTGCATGGCCAGCCCCCCAGCAGCCTGCCCATCGCCTCTCCGCGCCCCGCCCAAGCACGCCCGGAGATTCCACCGTTGCTGTCTTGCCTGGGCTAGGAGACCGGGACCTCGCCATTCCCAATATCTGTGGTCGTCGAGCGAAGCGTTGGCGGCATGATCAGCGACAGAATTGAATTTCCGCTCGTCTCATTCGACGCAACGCGTGGTGTTCAAGCATGGTAAACACCCG